TATCAAAAAAAGCACACACTTCCAAGCCCTGCTGACATCAGAGAGAATTATATGCGGCATTATTTTTGATATTATCTGACCTTCACTGCTCCCTGACCATCTCATATTTTGCTAAAAATGGGAGAGCCTATTCACTGATGCCCAGCTGACATCAAAATACCCCACAGAGGAAAACACTCTTTCATCTCTGACCTTCCGTCTATCTCCTCCACTGCCCAAATAGAAAGCATGAGGCAGCTTCACATCTCAAAGAACACTCTATTGAGTCTGGTTGATATATTGTTGGTTATTTAAACATGATAGGAGAAATCCCTCAATGCAGATGTACGCATCTGTGTGTGTTTTGTCTGCATATGAACACAATGTTCTTCCCTGCAGATTAACAGGATGGCAGGTGTTTGTATGTTGTGGCTCGGACCCTTTATCTCAGGGGTGGATTATGGGATGGATTAAAGCCGAGGCATCAGTATCTGGGGTCCAGTGTTGTGTCTTGTTAGGTGGCCGTGAATACAACTGCCTTGTGTATTCTAGTCCTCGACATGAACTAACATCTATTTTTCTCTCCCCCTCAGGGTAAACCTGTAGAGATCCTGCCTTTCCTCTACCTCGGTAGTGCCTACCACGCCTCCAGACAGGACTATCTCAGCGACCTTCACATCACGGCCTTGCTCAATGTGTCGCGCAGGGACATGCAGCCGGCCAAGGGCCTCTACGACTACAAGTGGATCCCAGTGGAGGACAGTCACATGGCCGACATCAGCTCCCACTTCCAGGAGGCCATAGAGTTTATTGGTGAGTTCAAGGGAATGCATGTTTTGCCTGCATGGCTCTCCTTTTATTTATCAAATGGTTTGCTTTAGTTAAAATAGAAAAGAAAAACACATGCACACACATAAACACAAAATACACAATACACAAACAAATAGGCTACATTCACAAAAGTACATCATGGTTCTGTCGCTCAATCTATTTTAGGGAAATACATTTACCACCACCAAGATGGCGTCTTTTCTAGAACAAGTTCTCTATTTCAAATGCAACGTCACCTTAAGGAATCTCCTACACATAGGTGTTTGAGATGTGTCGTCAAATAAACCCTATGTCGCTGCCTCTCGCCTGCATTCATTCACAAATAGAGGGCTGATTAGAAATCCTGTAATCAGTTTAACTTTATCGTCTTCCTTCAATCCCCCACTAACACATCCAGCCAGCCTCATTCAGGATTTGGTCACTTCCCCCGTCCCCCTCTGAACTCCCTCCCTTGTCTTTACTTGAAAAATACACTTCCATGCCGTCATCGCCTCCCAGGCATTAATCTCTGTGGCTTTGCTCTGCCGGGTGTGGCCAGTCAGTGTGACAACTGTGTGAGCTGTCCGTGTTTCGTAATGTCCGGGTGGAGGAGGTTTGGGGCTGACTGTCATTAACACACAGTTGTTTGTGATGGTTATATGGAGCAAAAAAGCCAGCTGACTGACACATAATGAGATTGGGTAGTTGTTGGTTGCTTGCAGGTGTCAATACTGTTGGACCTTATGACAGGGGGGAAGGGAATGTGTTACAGAGGAAGAAGAGGTGCTGGATAATAGCAGCAGCAGCAGCAGCAGTAAAAGATGCACATAAAGTGCTTTTTGCTATTTATAGCCAGGCATAACCAAGGACAGCACCCACGAGCAGCATGGCTGACCAGTATTGGGTGTCTAATGTTTTTATTGTGCATTTGGGGATGCGGCCTACATTCAGGTTACCTTTGTGTAAGCCTGTTTATTTTTTACATAATGCTGAAAATTGTTCAGGTTTAGACTACATTCAGAGAGGGCCATCCAAGTTCATTAACTATGCCAAGTGATTATGGTGCACACGAATAATCTCCGGGCTGCTGCTGGGCCCCGAACGAAAATCAATCACCAATCACCAATCACAATCTCTGCGCACATGCATGGTGACGGATGTACAGTCAGAGAGGATGTGATAAATATTATTGACCCACTGCTGTTTTCACGCTGTCCACCATCCTGCACTCCAGATGGGAAGATCATGATTCATTTATGCGGTTTACGTAGATAAGAGCAGTCAGAAATCATACTTCTCCCTGCTGTGTCTTTCATAACCAGACAGATGTGGCCCTCAATGTTTCTAGTTAACAGAGAGAGAGATGTGTTAGGGTCTGAAGTGGCTTTGTGTAACTAACTATATTATATTAATCACATCTTGCAATGGGTCGTGAGTGACACTCATAACAGAAAGTAGGTTTTTATGTGGGCATCAGAACATTCAGATAAGTGTGTAGGAGTGCTGAAACTCTAAACTGGAGCACACAGTGAGCTCTGCAGCAGCACCCAGCGCCCCCACAGCAGTGTAGGAGAGAGACAGTCTCATGTACCACTGCTCCCTATGACTCAGAAAAGCCTCACAAGTGTCTCTGCATCCCCAACTAAAGCATTTCTGCGTCCCTAAAAAGCCTACTGATATGGTTGATGTAACTGTTTGTCCATTAAATCCTGCTTTTGTTTGTGTGCGAGAGACAAGCTAGATGGATTTACAGAAACGCGTTAGTTAGTGGGAGTTAAAAGTAGGCAATGAATACCCTATCTGGGTGATTTTCATTTGTTATTATTGACTGTTTAAAACGCCTTCTTGATTCTTTTTAACTTTTCCCCCACATAACTTGACTTTAAACATCCATTACAAACACCAAAACAGAATAGTAAAATATGACACAAAACCATGGCCATTATTTTGAAATGAACTATTATAATACAACTTTTGATTCTGTACAACCATTTTGCCTATGATCACAGAAAAAAAGAACCATTGTGCATTCAGCCAGCCTCAGGTAATTAACGTTGTCTTATTCTTCCTCTTGTCCTTGCAGATAACGTGAAGCAATCAGGAGGAAAGGTTCTAGTCCATTGCGAAGCAGGCATCTCCCGCTCACCTACCATCTGCATGGCCTACATCATGAGGACGCAGCAGCTGCGGTTGGATGCGGCCTTCGACATCATCAAGCAGCGCCGGGCAGTCATCTCACCCAACTTCAGTTTCATGGGTCAGCTGCTGCAGTTTGAATCAGAGGTCCTCTCAATGGCCCCTGCTCATGCCGCCACACCTGAACCTGCCACACCCTGCGCCCCAGAGTCCGCCTCCTTTTTCGCCAACGACTTCAACACCACTTTCAACACCAAAAACTTTGAGCCATCTGTGTTCACCCTCCCTACCTCTTGCCTGCAGTCCCCGGTCCACCACCAGTTCACACTGAGCCCAATAACTGCACTGCCTTAAAATGAACCATGACTGCTTGTATCTTACTTGAAAAAAGAACAATTGATGCTCTCTGTGTGCCTCGTGTTGAAGCCAGCAGAGCAGATAGACAGAAACAGAAGCGTCAAGATAATAGTATTCAGTTCATGGAACTAATGAAAAAAACGATGGGCTACAGACCTTGTTTACCTGTCCTCTGTACTTCTATTATGAAACAACACAGCACAGTGATATACTGCAATATACATGCCTTAGGTTGATATTGTGATTTATGCCTATTCACAAATACAGTCAGGCATGAAACCTAATTTATTTGAAAAATTGTCTGTCTGATTTTTTTCAATAATGTGGATGTTAATATGTGTTTAATAAATGTTTTCACCATGAAAATTAAGTTGTTGTCACGTTGTTATTCCAGAATTATGTTTAGTAGTTGATGTTTGACAACATCAGAGAGTAGTAAGAATAGTTTGTTTACATGGGCCTTATTATCCTTACTCGGGTTAAGATCTTGTTCCGGGTATGATGTTTACATGGAACATAATAAACTTAGTTTATCATCACCTGATTTCAAAAGGTTTCAAATTTTCTGATCATCTTTGTGTTGTAGTTTCTCACCATCTCAGTCACTTCAAAAATCGTTATACTGTAAGTTGTCCATGCCACCAGTGGTGTAAGAAGTATTCAGAAACTTTACTTAAGTTTAAGTGCAATATTAAACTCCCGTATTCATCCGTTGATGTGAAAGGATGTGCTCAATTGAACTATTTTACACATTTCAATAGTTTCCTTTGAGAAATTGTGGGGTAAAAGTAGGCTGCAAAGTTGCATACAATTGAAATACTTAAAGTATCACATTTGTAGTGAAGTAAGTAAAGTAGGTTAATTTAGTTCCATGCACATCCCACCATGCCACTGCAGGTCCTGGTTACTGTCTGAGACCAAATGCACGTTTCTGAAAGCTGGATGTTTACAATCACAATATAAAAGGGATATTACAAAAATCATAACCAGGACACTGGTGTGCTCACAAACACACTCAATAACACTTTTGGCATTAATTGCATTTGGGGATTAGAAGTTGGACAGGCCCAAATGGGCAGCAGAAGAGGCAACAGTGACACCTGCAGTGAATGAGATGGCCTTTATAAGTATATTGAAATTAGCAGCATTGCTCACATTCATAGTTCTGATTAGACTGCACTTATATCAGGTTATGTCAGGTTAGTGTTAACAAGTGCAACATAGGCAATGGAAACTGATGCAAACGCATGAGAATGAGAACAAATGAAAAAAACAGCAACAGGTTAAGCTTTTTTGTCCACATTTCCATATGAAACAGTTTGAAGTTGTACTTTCTAAAGAAAGAATAACAAATTAAATTGGGGGGAAATCGGTAAACAGAATTGTTTATCGATCGATAAGGCATTCAATTTGAGTGCATCTTCATCATCGACTATTTTATGTGTTTGGCGCCTAAGACAGACAGCTAGACTGTACCAGTGGAACAGATAGGTAGCTAGGTTAACAGCAAGCGTGTTCAACCTGTTATTTACATACAAAAACATTGCTTCAATGATTGACGATACTCAAATTACACATAATTTAATCGTCTATTGTTAGATTCTGTCTAATTTATAACACCATCACACGACATTATATATGTTTGTATTACCACAACCCTGTTTTCACATAATGGTATCATCCATTTTATCCCGCCCCCGCCGCCATTTTCCATGTTATTCTCTTCTCCCAGTGTTTCACCAATTTTGAATAAATTTGGGTTATTAACTTCCCGGCTTCTCCAGCTAAGTGCGGAGGGAGCTTATCTCCGTAGTTAGCCAAGGAGCCGCCTTGTTCAGACAGCCATGTACATCAAACAGGTGAGATAACGACACCAGATTTGTGCGTGTTGCCGACTTTCACCAGGCTATCTTTACGCGTTTTTCCAACAAACGGTTCTTATTGGCAAACCGAGGTTTTGCACACACTCTAACGTTAATATGATTGCATAGTTATGCTAACGCAGACACACTTAGGCTAAATAGCCAGCTTGCTAAAGCTAGCAAATGCTATGTGGATTAATGTTGAGTTGAATTGCCCGTCCCACTTCCCGGGATGCTAAGCTACCGCTACATGCTAATCGGTGGGTCAGCGGATTTTTCGCTTTTCTATAACTTTTGCTCGATACAATGCTGCAATCTTATTCTTTAAATGCAAATGTCTGCTTTGAAAACATCGTGGCTGTCAAGTGTATGGGTTATTCTGTTAGCAACCTTGCAAACACGTTAATGTCCTGAATGAAAACTGGCTCATACTGTAGCCGACAGACTAGGCCCTGCTGGAAATCATCGTGCCCCGCTTATGATACTCTGATGCTCCGCTGAGCACATCCATGCTTAGTCTAATTTATATCGGAGGCACCAAGCTGTAATAAAGCTGCATTCATTAATAGTCCCTGGCTTACTACTAATGTCATGTCACATAACTTTTTATAGCTGCAGTTTGTGTTTATTTTTGTCCTAATTATGAGGGTGTTATCAGTGGGAGAAGTACTCTCTTGTACTCTTCTACTAATCTTGCACCTTAGTAAAAGTTGGAGACCAGAGTGTAGGAATACTCTTGTTACAAGTAAAAGTCCTGAATTCAAAATGTTACTCAAGTAAATGTATACAAGTATAAGCATCAACATATACTCAGAAGTGTTTCCCACATAATTTGATTCTATTTGTGGGGGCACCGCACAAAAAAATAACAATATATATATTTTTTTATGAGATCCATTTGTGGCGGACGATGTATGGGAAACACTGAAGTACTCAGTATGCAAATTGGCACATTTCAGAAAAATTTGTTATATATTTTGTGATTATAATATTGATACATTAAAGTGTTATCAAAGCTGGTAAATATGCAGCTAGTTTGATTACTTTTTATGCTGCAGGGTAACTTGTGAATGTCCAAACTCCATGCAACAAAAAACAAATGAATGTGTTCTTTATATTTCGCATTATTTATCCAAATGGACAAAGTAACTAACGGTATTATATAAATGTAGTGGAGTAAAAGTACACTATTTACTATTTGTATGGAAATAAAATTACATAGTGGCAACACATTGAATTACTCAAGTAAAGTACATGTCTCTCAAAATTGAACTTGAGTACATGTAATTAGTTAATTCCATCTCTGCCTAACTTTGTCTAGCCACAGTTTGTGGTTGATGTTGTCGTCAGTATGAGGCTGACCTGCTCACAGTGGTCTCTGGGTTCTTGTGCAGGTCATCATCCAGGGGTTCCGAAGTTACAGGGACCAGACTGTGGTGGACCCCTTCAGCCCAAAACACAATGTAATCGGTGAGTATGTGCACACCTCAACTTTTCTCTCATGTTGTTGTACTTTACCGTATTTAAAACAAATATAAAGTGTAAGGTGATGTACTCTGAATGAAGGCATTTACTTTTAATGCTAATAGAAATCGGTGTGCCATGTCTCATGTTGGTGGCTGTGCACATTATGTCCCTATGTACTCATCTTATTTGTTCTTGTCTGTTTACAGTTGGAAGAAATGGATCAGGAAAAAGTAACTTTTTCTATGGTATGTCTTCCTTCATTATTTGTACTATATACATCAGTCAAACATTATTCTGTACATGTTAAGTTGTTTTTTATTGTCTAAATCTGTGACTCGGCTTTGCTTCCTTAGCCATCCAGTTTGTGCTCAGTGATGAGTTCAGCCACCTGCGACCTGAACAGCGCCTGGCTCTGCTCCACGTAAGTTCGGGAAACTTTCAGTAACTCCTCACCCTGTGGTGGTATACAAATTGCTTGTTAGCCATACTTACGCTGACAAAAGCTTGTGCAACTTCCTAATAACTGAAGGATTAGTTGCATATTTGTTGAAATAATACGTTTTGATGGAGAATGAAACACAGTGGGAAACATATTTTTAAATACAAGGCTTATGAATAACATTTTAATCATTATGTTTTTCCTCCCCTGTCACTGTAGGAGGGAACTGGTCCTCGGGTCATTTCGGCTTTTGTGGAGATTATATTTGACAACTCTGACAACCGGCTGCCGGTAGGAATTGCAAACATGTTATGTTGATCCTATTATTGTAATCTTAGACACACCAATTTATTATTTCCAACCTGATACACTTGAAGTCCTTTCAGTAAGCCTCTCAAAGAATACCCATCTTCTTTGTGTATGTGATAAGTAATTGGTTGTTTTAAAAGTTTAAGCCTGTTTAAGCTAAAGCAAGAGGTGTACTGGTTTATTGGCATGTTGTCTGGATTGACCAATGTAAGATTAAATGTGCGTACCATATTTCCAACTTTTAAACATATATGTAAGGCTTTAAGAGATGCAACGTAAACCATTTAACATCTCGTTTGTACCAACAGTACAACTTATTGACCTCTCGTTTCATCAACATCTTTAGTCTAGGCTCCTAGTGGAAGTGTCATCACTATAATATGTTGTTGAGTTCTTACTGAACTGTTCCTAAATTGGTGACGATTGCTGTGTCCAGTGATTGTAGTCCCAGTGCCTCCAGTACACAGTGCTCACTGCTTATTATTCTGATGATGAAGGCCGGATGTTTGCACTTCTCTAGAAATCCAAAGCCTGGTAACACTGTGACATACCAGTCAGTTCTGCTGATGTGTGTGATTGTCCTCTTCAACTGTGATGCCTGTCTCTCCCCTCAGATCGACAAAGAGGAAGTCTCCCTCCGGCGTGTCATTGGCGCAAAGAAGGACCAGTACTTCTTAGACAAGAAGATGGTGACGTAAGTATTGCAGGGGATGGACGGTAAATTTTTTCACAGGAAATAACAACCCTATGAATTAATGTTATCACTTGTTTGATTTTTATTGTTGCAGTAAGAACGACGTCATGAACCTTCTGGAGAGTGCCGGCTTCTCTCGCAGCAACCCCTACTACATCGTCAAGCAGGGAAAGGTAAGAGAGGAGTGGGTGGGCTAAACTTCACACAAGACAAACGTTTCTTTTTGGCTGTTGTGTAATGCATTGCAGTATTTAAGCAGGGCAGTAAAAAGAGTGCCAACTGTGTTTAACTGAATAGCTTGGCCTGTTCAAATCTGCTGATTTAAGGATTAGTGTCAAAAATGAGGAAATCGGCTCAAAAGTATCAAGAATTAAAAATGCCATGCAAGAAAGTCTTGGACCTAAATTTCACAGAAATGTTTTTCACCCTATGCATAATTTCAATGTTTTAATACAGATCAACCAAATGGCCACAGCTCCTGACTCCCAGCGTCTGAAGCTTCTGAGAGAGGTGGCGGGAACACGAGTGTACGATGAGCGCAAAGAGGAGAGTATTTCTCTCATGAAGGAGACAGGTCATTATTTTCTTTAACATTATTGTCTCATAGATTGCAATTGTTATTGTTCCTGCTATTGGTAGTCAATACCTGTACCATTGAAATGTCACTATTTTTCATACAGAATTTGATCCCACTATATAAAACAGAAACAAAACATCAATCCCAGGTCCTTACAAATACTCCTTTGTTACATTTTCATACAGTTTAAAAAAATTATGTATAACTCCATTTTTTCTTATTGATGTGGAAACATTTCATTTTTATTAAAAAAGGTTTTAGCCAAAAACTTGTTCTTGTGAACAGATCCCTATAGGGTTATAATTTACCTTGGCTCAGTGCCACATGTGCGTAACTCCAACTTGAACATGTCATATTATAAATCAAAGGAATCATCTTTACTGGCTGCTAACAGCTAACGTTGACTAGCTCTTCTCCTACAGACTTGTGTAGCATTGTTAGGAAAAAAATACTTGACCAGTAGATTATGATTTAACGGCATCCTAGTGGATTTTATTAATACAGGATGCTGTTAGTCTAGAGTCCCCTGGTATTGTAGAAAACACTTTTAAGAATTTAAAAAAATAATGACAAAACAATGACCCAGTCCCAATTAATAGAGTATTACATGTTTAAAAAACAATCTGATGTGTTCTTCAGAGGGGAAGCGAGAGAAGATCAATGAGCTGTTGAAGTACATCGAGGAGCGTCTGCACACCCTGGAGGATGAGAAGGAGGAGCTGGCTCAGTACCAGAAGTGGGACAAGATGAGAAGAGCCCTGGAGTACACCATCTACAACCAGGAGCTGAACGAGACCCGCGCCAAGCTGGACGAGGTAACCAACTCAAGACAAACAAATACGTTCTTTGTATATACAAATAACAGTTTGTGGTTGTAAACATTTGTGTTGATGCCATGGTAGGAAATGATCACTGCCCATTCGTCAGAATATTACATATATACAAAATAATACAGAAAGTACTTTTTAGTTTATCAGCCTTTTTGATGTCAGGAATAATGTTTTTTGAAAATAAAAAAATTATATAAAAGATCCAAACAATGAATGTAAGAATCGACCAATCTGTGTGCACAAATATAATTAGTTTTGTCATCTGTTGTGTACAGTTTCAAAACCAAAACGTTTTTGTCCTCTTTCTCCAAAGCTGTCCAGCAAGAGAGAGACCTGTGGAGACAAATCCAGACAGCTGCGTGATGCTCAGCAAGATGCCCGCGACAAAGTAGAGGTAAGGAGTTCAAATACATATTGTTACTAACACTGCAGCATGATGGCAACGTCTATAAAAGAGGATTTGCAATATTTAGTGATTTACTCAAAATCATAAGGTCAAACTTCATATTTTTAGCGTCCATAAAATCAATTCATTCATCATTTTAAATCAAAACAATCACTTAAGTAACTTGTTTTTATTCTCCTTTTGAATTGAATCTCACAGCCTTTTTGTCCTCTGGCTCCCTTCCTGTAGGAGACGGAGCGTGTGGTGCGAGAGCTGAAGTCCAAGATCTCTGCCGGGAAGGAGGAGCGCGAGCAGCTGGGGGCCGAACGCCAGGAGCAGATCAAGCAGAGGACCAAACTGGAGCTGAAGACCAAGGACCTGCAGGACGAGCTGGCAGGCAACAGCGAGCAGAGGGTACGGAAGCCTCCCATCTGCGTCACTCTGCACACGTGACGCTGCACCAGCAACACCCCCCCTTCCCCTGCACCAGCAACACCGCCCCCCCCCTTCCCCTGCACCATCATCGTATGTAGAGGAACAGTAGTCTCCTTCTCATTTAACGACCCCTTACTCATCCTTGTGGGTCAAAAAATTGTAAAAAAGGTTCAGTTTGACTTTATGCATGATTTATTAACAAAACTCTTCCTGGTGAATTTCCTTGCGGTTAACATCATCAATTCATCAGCTAATCATAAAGCATGTAAAGAGTTGACAGTTTTAGTACTGAGTCCTTCAAAAGAATGTTTGCCGGTCTAATAGAGGAGAAAATTGAGAACCAAAAAAGAGGAAGCTCCAGCCTGTGTACGTAACGTTTGCCATCAGCTCCACTTTACATCATCCCTGGCAAGAGGCTGTGTGTACAGAGCTGGCATGAACCACTCTCCGTATGGCCCTGTGTTCCGTGTGTGTGTTTGTGTGTGTGTGCACGTGTGAGTATGAAGACGATAATCATGCATAACGGCTTTATTGGCGCAGTCTGTGTGTGACCCATGATGGGTCCCGGGCAGCATGCGGGCTGCTGGCTGGATGAAGCCCACCTGGCTGTGGCTGGCAGAACAGCAGCCAAAAGCTTGTGTAGCAAAATGCAGAGCAAGGGAAGCAGATCTGCGTCACTAGATGTGTCTGAGGCGCTTTTGGGGAAAGTAGAGGTTTCATACCTGTGAGATGAAACCCCCTGTCCCAGCCCATTGTTGTCTCAAGATGGATTTTTCCTAATTGGTTCACATTTTTTTCAAAAATAATTATGTCTACTCCTCACTCTGCGTTCCAACCTCTTATTATATTTGAATGTTGCATGTGTGCAATGTAGGTTGTAATTGAATGTGAATTTTGAAGCTATGTCCGTTCATCATTTTACATTTACTATAATAAATGCATATCACTGACACTCAATCTACACATTGGATACACACACTTAACCCAATATGAATATTGCGTAGGAGCAGCATGCAATGTTCCTTCAAATGTTTTTTATTTATTTTTATTTTACAAAATGTGTAGAACCAATTTTTCGTGCAGAAACTCACACTTTACATTTTGGAGTTAGATAAACTGGCAGTAGAAAATTAAGTCTATAGATAAAATATTTAAATAAATACTTCCCCTTAAATTCCGTTCCTGCTCTTTCAGAAACGCCTGCTGAAGGAGCGTCAGAAGCTTCTGGAGAAGATCGAGGAGAAGCAAAATGAGTTGCAGGAGACTGAACCCAAATTCAACATGGTGAAGGAGAAAGAGGAGCGGGGCATATCCAGGTAGGGATGACGCACTCTCAGCCACGGCTCCTCGACCTCGGCCGATGGTCAGGCATAACGCCATGAGTCAGTCACTCTTGAAAACATTTGAATATCAAGAGACCGAGAGGTATATGAGATATTTATAAATTCTCCTGCAAAGTAGTTTGATGCAAAAGTGTGACGAACATTTGTTATCCAGAGTGGGTGATGAGAAGAAAATCCAAATACTCCAATATTGATATTGCAACAATATTGTACAGTGGACTTTTAAGCTTTCACAAACGATTTAATCAATAATTATTTGGAAATAATCATCATCAATGTTGATTTAAATTTAAAGGGGACCTAATATGCAAAATGCACTTTTTGATGTCTTTTTATACACACAGTGGGGCAAAAAAGTATTTAGTCAGCCACCAATTGTGCAAGTTCTCCCACTTAAAAAGATGAGAGGCCTGTAATTTTCATCCTAGGTATACCTCAACTATGAGAGACAAAATGAGAGAGAAAAAAACCCCAGAAAATCTCATTGTCTGATTTTTAAAGAATTTATTTGCAAATTATGGTGGAAAATAAGTATTTGGTCAATAACAAAAGTTCATCTCAATACTTTGTTGACAGAGGTCAAACGTTTTCTGTAAGTCTTCACAAGGTTTTCACATACTGTTGCTGGTATTTTTGGCCCATTCCTCCATGCAGATCTCCTCTAGAGCAGTGATGTTTTGGGGCTGTCGCTGGCAAATCTCTACTAAGTGACATCACATATAGAAGACATATAAAAAACCTTTTAGATCACATAGTAGTAAGAAGCGATGTGTAAATAGTGTCCACAGAAATTGGACCTTCCACGAGAAAAATCTCAAAATGGCTATATATATAGTATATACAAGTAGTTGAAATGAGATCGGAGACGTCTGTAGGACGACTTATGTGTCGACGGCTTACATATGCGCCGCTGCTATCCAACCCCTGCACAGTGCACACGCCTCTGGCTAATCCAACCCTGCAAAGTGCAGCCAGGCCTACTAGCCGGCTTACGTGCACCTATCCTCCGCTTTTAAGACCTAGACGAACAATCGTGGCGGGGGAAAAGCAAAAAATCTCAACAACATGCCGCTCGCTTCTTCTCTCCCAAAACCCAAACGACCGTGAAACGTCATGTGATAAAGTCACGCCCCGTTTTTTCATAAATCAGTCGGTGGTTAACACGTTCAAGAGGGTGAATTTTTCTACTCTCCGGACATTAAAAGTAGGATCCATATGGAGTTGATACTCTCTGTTTTACTCTCTCTTTTTTTGGGGTCTTTTAGAGTAACAGACTAAAAATTCTTAACTAAACGGTTTAATACCACCTTTTATGTCAAAAACTAGTGGAAATGTGGTTTGGTTTTGAAAGACCGAGAGTGGTCTGGACATTGAAGAAGATTCTCGGAGGAGACAGGAGGTGACAATTGACTAATTACCGTGGACAAACTTGAGCCAATAGTCATATTTTCTGTGGACAGGTGTTGGATTTTGTCAGTGTAGGTTTGAGGTGATACCGGTTCTGGTTTCTCGACAGTTTCTGTGGTCTTTTGTTGAAAATCTGGAACGTGGTCCGACCTTCTGACTTAGACGTATAATCCTTCGTCGAACCACACTCTTTAGTTGACACCTCGTTAACTAATCTCTTTACGCTCTGGTAATTCTCTCCGCGAGCTGACTATTAGGAGGGAGCTAGAGCCTAGTTCTAGAGTGGGGCACCCCAGTTTTACTAGTGTTCTTGCACTCGTTTTTAGGGTCTTTGGTGGCGGGTTTTGCCCCCCCTGGATCAGTTACTGGACGTCTCTCGGCCCTGGTTTCTTGTTTCCGGATGGTAGCTCATTGTGTGATGCGGCGGTCCCTGAGTTTAGGACGTCACGGTCTGCACAGGGGGACGAATTCGGTCATGTACAGGTCCGGGCAGACTTCAAACGGTCTCCTCGTAAAATATACTAAGGTCTTCTCCTAACCCTCTTCAAGTATACCAGTTTAATTTGGTTTTATCTGAAAACCCATTCTGAGTTGATCTGGCACAAACCTTCCCCTTTCTTGCGACTCAACGTAGGTTTCTTTGTGTATGATAGCACGTTGTACCCCCACCTTTGTAGTCCGAAACCCGACCAAAAAGACGTTTCCCCTGGTCCTGCTGACTAGACACATTTCCTTTTCTATCTTACCCCGGTACATAGCACGTCTAAAAACTCACTGTTGGAGGAAGTAGCCGTTCCCGTAACTTCTAACTTTGCAACGACCCAGAAAGTCGTACTGTTACTAGGGTTTGTGTGGCGGGGCCCCCGTTGCTTCCTCACCGAGCATTCTTCGTAAAGTACATGACCTCACCGGATGGTCAGAGGTCTAGAGTTGGGGTATCTTTAGAAACCTACTCAACTTTCCAG